CGGACTCAATGATCTATTGAGGTCCCTTCCAACCCTAACATCTATGAATCTATGAATCTATAAGATGACCTCCCAATACTTAGATTCTACATATGGAAAAGGGATAAATTTGTTATCATTTTCTAGGCATAGAATATAATTATTGGAGGTTTGCCTTGAATGTGTCTCCCCCCTTACTGCTACAGCAGGGAAAATAAATCTAGGGGGAGGGTCAGGTAGCCCCCCTGCCCTCTGCCCCCCACAATTCTTTCCCCTGCAGCCCCTTCCTCACTCTTTACTGTCAAACCCTACTCTCCTTGAGCACACAGAACCATGGAGAAAATTTGAAAACACTGATTTTGAAATAAGCATCCCTTTAGTAGGTAGAATATAGACAAATTATTACAGGGACCCATAGACTTAGCTATTTAGATCTGATGCAGTTCACCCTTTGTGAAACTGCTCCAAGTTTTAGCAAAGGTACTCCATAAGTACACTTTTAAGCACCATATTTATACTCATGTATAGTACAAACTATGCATGATATTAGTCCACAGACAAAGGTTCTTGATTTACCATTTCAAGGTAAGGTGACCTCAAAGCTCAGCACTGCTCAGTATGTGTGTCTACTCTAAGTACCCCTGCAAAAGGATCTATGTGCTAATTACATCTCCCTCCCCACTCATGACTGGAGCCAGGTGTTCTTGTCATGAGTCCTGGGATACTCTAAAAATGTATATGCAGAGAGAGGGAGTAACAGAGGGATTCTAAGTGAACCGTTCAGTGCCTCATTTATTGCTGTTTGCCAGACATTAATGGATGGTGAAGAAACAGGAATAATTGGAAATGGGAAAGAAAGGTACAGCTCAGCTGTCGGAGTGAAGAGGAAGTCGAAATGTAGGCATTGTAGAATGTAGAGGGGAGTAATCACTTCCTTCAGTCTGCTGGCAATGCTCCTACTAATGCAGCCCAGTACACTGTTAGCCTTCTTGGCAACAAGGGCACACTGCTGGCTTATATTCAGCTTATTGTCCACTGTAACCTCCAGGTCCTTTTCTGCCCAGCCAGTCAGTCCCTTGCTGCCCAGCCAGTTAGTCCCTTGCCTGTACTGGTGTATGGGATTGTTCCAACCTGCACTTATCTTTATTGAACCTCATGAGATTTATTTTGCTCCAATCCTCCAATTCGTCAAGGCCTCTCTGAATCCTAAACTTACCCTCTAGACCAACCCTTGAGATACTCCATTTGATACTGGATGCCAGCTGGACATCAAGAAATTGATAACTACCCTCTGAGGCTGACAGTCTAGCCAGTTTTCTGTCCACTTTACAATCCGTTCATCCAACCTGTACTTACATTAAGGCACTTACTTAGCTTAATGCCTTTTTTTTTACGTCAACCTTCACAAATAAAGGCAACTATCATATGATGAGTGCAAAGAAAGGGAAAGGGACAAACTGTCCCGAGTACCAGAAGAACAAGTTAGGGATTACTTAGGAAAGCTACATGCTTTCAAGTCAGCAGGGTCAGATGGGATCCTTTAGCCCTAGGGTACTGAAGGAACTGGCTAGGTAATTGCAGAGCTAGTGGCTATCCTCTTTAAATGGTCTGCAACCAATCAGATGAGATTCAAGGAGGATGAGTGCAAAGTTGTGCACTGGGAATGGAATAACTGCATGCACAAATACAGACTGGGAAGTGATCACCAAGGCTGTAGTACTGTAGAGAAGTCCCTGAGGGTTACAGGGACCATAAGATGAATATGAGCCACCAGCATGCTCTCATTACAAAAAGCCAAAAGCATATTGGGTTGTATTCACAGGCTTGATTCACTTACAAATCAAGTGATTCTTTTTGCTTTGTTCAGCATTGGTGAGGTCTCATCTGAAGTAATGCATCCAGTTTTAGGCCCCACACTTCAAGGAGGATGTGGGCAGAATGCAAAAACTCCAGCACAGAGTAACAAAAATCATTAGAGGCCTTGGAAACATGACTTATAAGAAAAGGCCCAAAGAACGAGGGTTACTTAGTCTGGAGAAGAAAACACTGAGTGGGCAGAGGAGCAATAACTTTAAACTGTCACAGAGGTTGGAGATTAGAAGGAACTTTCTGACTAGAAAATCTGCCTGTACCTTTGGTTTAGCTGACTGTTTGTTTGTTTGGTGGGTGTGTGCTCTGAGAAGCTGGGAGTGAGTGCTGAGTCACTGTTGATTGTTGATTGCTGTGGGATTGCTGCCTGGGCCTGAGTCAGCCCAGGCCCAGAAGGGTATAAAAGGAGCCTCCCCAGGCGCCCAGGGAGCCTGTGACCAGGGACTGCCAACAGGGGAGCAGTTTGCAGGCAGCTCGCAGGCCAGTCATGGGCCAGAGTACACAGGACATTCTGACAAAAACTTCAGGTAAGTGAATGAGGAGGGGGGCTTCTATGGGGGTGGTGACATGGAGCGCAGCCAGGTCCCTGCCCTGCTGCTGCCTCCGGCCTGGAGCTCCTGTGAGGCCTT